TTAAAAGTCTCATTCTTAACCTTTTCAGTGCTGAATGTTCTTTTGCTGTTGGGTATAGTAGCTGAATTCAGTGATTCTCAAACACATAGTAAGTTTTTAATTATTCATGTTGTTTTTTTGTGTTTTTTTAAGTGTCTGTGTGTGTGTGTGTGGAGGTAATAGTGTGTGTAATAGATTTTATAATCTCTTAACAATCTGAATGTTTTTGAAACTAATGCAGTTGTTGTTTTCCAGCTAAAAATAGAGCTACAACATAAACCTCTAAAACAGTTCTGAAATAGCCCTTTGTATATATATATATATGTGTGTGTGTGTGTGTGTGTGTGTGTGTGTGTGTGATATTTGAATATATGGAATGACATTTGTATATATATAGAATGATCTTCTGAATATATTTAATGAAAAGTGACATTAAATTTGTTTGCATTTTTATGACTTATCTTGGATGTAAAATGGTATAACGGTTTCAGTGATATGGTATTATGTGTTATCATGTGCTTTAGCTTCTGCTTGACATGTTATCTCAGTTGACATCTCCATCTTTGATTGATAATTTCTCTCAAGTATTGTGCAAAATCTTCTCTTCGTTTGAACAGCTGTCACAAAACAGTTGTCAAACTCTTCAAACTACTGAAATAGTTCTGCTGATGCCATTTTGTAAAGGCAGATAATTCAGAAAACCTCAACTCTAAACATGACGTTCACTCATTCCATATATCCTATATACTTATATTCTATATAAGTTTTATTCTATATATTCAGACATCGACAGACGAGTCTTTATTTGACTTTCTGTCTCAGATTCAGGTTTTCCTCAAGTTGCTCCAAACAGGCAGCAGTTCTTTCAATCAGAATCTATCACTATCAGCTGTGAAGGGCTAAATGGGCTGACTGGATGGAGAGTGATTAAAAAGATAAATGGAGTTGTTACACCATGTGCTTCAACCTGGGAAACATCGATTGGACCTTGCAAAATTAGTAATGCCTATCCTTCAAGTGACACTGGAGAATACTGGTGTGAAATGGGAGGAATACAAAAAAGCAACTCCGTCAATGTCACTGTAACTGGTATGTACATAGAAATGAAATTATGCGTTAACATATTTAGTCCATTTACCATTTTTTTCTGTTTAGTATATCACTTACAGTAATGCACATGCGCATGTCATATTTGATATATATTTTAATAGCAGTAAGGGACAATTTTTATTCATAAAATGCATCACAATCATAATAAAATAACACATATACATATATATTTACTGCATGTGCATTGTAATAATCAGAAGTATCATATGTTTTGAAAGAGATTTCTATTTAAAAATGATGGGAGCTATTATTGTTAGTAATGAATGAATATAATTAATGATTTCCATATATGTATAATTTTAACAAATATCACTTTTTTTATAACTGTTAAACATTCTGCCATTTAGATTTAGAGAGTCATGTGATCCTGGAGATTCCTGCCCAACCTGTAACGCAGGGAGAAAACGTGACCTTGCATTGTAGAAAAAAGGATGCAAACTCCAACTACACTGCAAAATTCTATAAAAATGGCGTCTCCATTGGGAGCAGCTCATCAGGAAACATAATGGCTCCCACTGTATCCAAATCTGATGAAGGACTTTACAAATGTAGTATTGCTGATGCTGGAGAATCACCAGAGAGCTGGCTAACTGTTTCAGGTAAGATGCATCAATATTTCCCCCCAAAAAATGGAGACAAACTTTGTATCTGTGGCAGTAAAGATGGACCTCACCACACTTGAACGCTTTTCAGCATCTTTATTTACTCAGTTTCTTGCATCATACACTCACAGCCGCAGCTTTTTAGCTGCCATCCACATGTACACAACAACAACACAGTCAGGACCCAGTTTACTCTTATATGCAGGGGAGGCGTGACGAGCTGATGCAGCTAAGGTGTGTCAGTCTCACTCGCAGCTGTGCCACAGTACCCAAACTATTTTTTAAAGCGTCATGATAAAATGTGTAAATGAGAAATAGTATATGGTCTATGATGAACATAGCCACTGTTCAAAGAGACATCAGAATGATGCCTTTACATGTCATTTTTGCAGGTTCAGTTCTGAAGTTGGTTGTTTTGTAACATAAGGCAACATCTTTATTTCGATATCTAATGATAGTCTGGTGTTGAAGTCCATAGGATTTCTCTACATAGGTATGTGTAGTCAAAATGTGGTTGTTGTTGACATCTCTGTTTTTTTAACAACAAACTTTTAGGTTGTATTGAAATATTTGAAGTTCTTGTGGTGTTATTCTTAGTAAGGGTTTAGTTGACGTTTAGTCTAGTTGTGTTTTCACCCATGTCTCTGTGTTTGTGTCTTTTCCTGTCTTTTGTGTTAGTCTGTCATAGGTTTCTTGTCTGCGTGTTCATGTTGTCAAGTTTGTGTTATCATGTTATCATGTCTCCGTCTCTACATGTTTCCTGTTTTATTTTGTAAGTCTTCTGTTTCTTTGTTCAGTGTGTTTAGTTTTACTCTTCTCCTACGATGTTGTTGATTTGTGTCAACTGTTTCACTATGTGTTTCCATTTCCCTTGATTACCTCCCGTGTGCATTTAGTCTGTGTGTTGTCATTCAGTCTTTGTCAGGCCATCTGTTTTTCTTTCCTCCAAAACACGGCGAGATTAAGGCTTTCACGATTCTGTTCAGGTTATGTTCATGTTCATGCTTCTTGTCCATGTAAACTCTTCATAGTTTCTCACATACACCTGTGCAGAACCGTGTTCATGTCACTGTTTTCGTGGTCACTGTTTCTTCTGATTTAAGTCTCAGTTTTGTTTTGTCCCAGTTCTCTTTTTTTACTTTGGTTTGTTTACGAATGTTGTCACCCTCTATAAGAGGCTTTTTGTTTATCCAAGTTGTTTGTTGTCTGTATTTGGGTCTATCATTCACGCAACACACAGTCAGCTCCAGCTGGCTGTGATGCTTTTTGTTGTCCCATGTTTCCTAGCACATCTTTTCTATTGGCTAATGATTGGATCAGTATGCCACCTTCTTAAATGGGACTAAATCATATTGGGTATACATAATTGTATTGAATAGGATATATATATCTTGAAACATTTTTTTTCCTTTTTTTTTTAATGAGTAATTTAAAACATTTTAATCCTTTCTAATGCACATTGCAATTATCTTTCCAGCAGGTCATCCTACATTGCCTTACTTAGAGATCTACCTGAGGCTCTGCATTGGTTTGGGTGTTTTATTGGTGGTCATTCTGCTAATATTGGTAGGAGTGTTTCAGCGTAATAAACATCAACAAACCATCAGAAATTACACAGAAGAAACTTCTTTGACACCAGGTATGTTGACAGTATGCTCATCAAAACATGTCTTTTTATTTTATAACAATAAGCATGCTTGGTGATTCCTGGTGGCCATCACTAATTAACTTTTTTTCTTGTTTATTTTGTCTTTTTTATAAGCAGGTGCTCAAAATTCTACTGCCTCCTTCCAGTCTCCCTCTTCTGCACAAACAGGTCAGGAAGGCCAACATTTGTTTAGGAATAAAAAACACGAACTTCAAATCTGCGGATTCATGGAAATTAGAAACACAGTCCTTAAGTAGGCCGTATACCCTAGGACATGCACCTGCTATTGTATTGTTTGGTCTGTGATTTTAGTCCCTCAGCAGGTTATTTTAGTGTAAATTTTGATATCAAATGTTTCATTTAGTTTAATTTCATTTATTTTGTTTTGTGGATAAAACAACATTTAGGCATCTAAATCTTTTGAATTTTAATCTTGTCTTAGTTGACTGACTATGATTAATATTATAACAGACTTTTGATTAAAATTGTTGAATAATTTAGTCAACTAAATTCATAGTTTTAGTCGACTAAATATCATAAGACTTTAGGAGACTAAAAATGTATTCAGTTGACTGAAATAGAAAGTATGAAAGTTTGAAGTATTTTTACTGGTGTGTTTCTCCAGACAGCTTATTTTCCTTGACATAAAATGTGTCTCTATATCTACTCTTAACATTTTGTCACATTTTCA